ATTTCATTTTTTTCTCTCACAAAAGTCAAAAAAATAAAAAAATCTATCTCAAACGAGAGTTTTTAGCTTTAAGCTAAAAAAGTCAAAAAGCTAAAAAGTCAACCCACATTCCAAACGAACCCATCGAATAAAAACAAAATGAAATGGAATGCAACCATTTGAATGATAATTCAATTTTCAAACTCCCTAAGATTATTTTAGGAATTGGATTCTCATTGCTTAAATAATAAAGTGTAAAGTGTTAAAAAAATAAAAAATTCAAAAGACAAAAGGAAAAGAGAATATAATATTATTAATAATGGTAGAGCATCTCGTCCTCTCTCTTTTTTCTTACATAAGCTTAATAATATTCTTCGTTGCTTTTCCAAAAAAAATAAAAAAATAGTAGAGCATCGCTTGTAGTACTATATTTCTCACTATTTCTCTCACAAGCTATAGAATTCACAAATATATGGATCTCATCACCTTGTAAGACACGGTAAGAAATACACAGACATCAATGATGGATCTAGAAGCGATTGCCCCCTACGAATTCACTCACTCATATATTAGTATTAGTTGTTAATTATTTTTAAATTATACGAATTCACCCTCTCTAGGTTTTAAGGAAAATTAATTAGTTGCACAATCCATGCATTCTATATCTATGAAACATAACGTTCAAAGTATAAAAATCAATAGTTTGGGCAAAAGATAACATCTTTAAAAAAAGTAGTTTTGTTTCTCATAACTAGTATTAATAAAATGTCTTAAAATTGCCATCTTTTGTAGTTCAGCAAAAATATATATAAAAAAATACTTATTTATATATGTTTTTCATGTTATTTTTTACTCTTTTTTTCTTTCTGTTGATAGAAAATGATGTTTTAGACAGTAATTTTTTCCCCCAAATTTTGGTTTAGTATATATTCTCCCCATTGTTAGAATTCTAGATTCATCCCTGTTAATATTTATTTAATAATATTATTGATTATTTTATTAGTGCTGATAGAAGACAACACAATTAAACCCAGTTGAGAAGGTTGAAAAATAATGGTAGCATTTCATTTTCACCAAGAAATGGACAGATGTGGAGTATATGAAATAAGAAAGGTGGAGATTTATAATTTAAGATTGGGCAAAATTCAGCTAACCCTTGGTTTAAGGCCGAAACTTTACCCCTATTGTTCAAAAATAGGCAGACAATCCCTTTATGATTTTGGATTAAATTGCAACTCTAACACCATTAAAAAATAATGTAAAATTAGCTTGATAACCCTTTGTCCTTCTACCTAATTTTTGCTTCTCTTGTTTTATTTCTCTCTTTTTCTCTTCTGCACATAACCTCTAACTTAAGCAACAATAAAAATAACATTAATTCAATTAAATAACATAATAACCACCCATCAAAAGGAAAAAAAAAAAAAACCTCTAATTATTTATTTAATTTCTGACATTTTAAACTAATTTTCATTTAATTATATTTTGCACAAAAACAGATACATATATATACATGCATACGCAATATATATATATATATATATATGGGATTTTAAAGTCCCTGATATTAAGATTTTATAAAATAAAGGACATACAATATTTTTAGAGTAGTTAAAGTCCCTCAACATTTTTATAGAGAAAATTCGACTTCTCTGTGAAATCAGAGAAATTTCTCTAAGTTGGGGTTGAAATTTCTATGAGTCAAGCAAAATTTCTCTGAGTCGAATTTTTATTTTTTATTTTTTTTTGTGAAAATGTTAAGGGATCTTAGCTAATAAAAAAAGCATCTTAGACCTCTCCTACTACACAAAGTTAGAGAGGAATGTTTCACTAATTTTTCCTATATATATATATAGGCTACAATAATGGAAAGAGAAAAGGGGTTGGTAGCTGATAGATACGAGAGAAACAAAATCAACTAAAATAAATTAAAATGGGAAAGATGAAATTACAATTTTCTTTTTAAAAAAAAAAAAAACCACTCTTCTCTGTTTTCTGTTCTCTGTTCATTACTCTGGGTCTTTTCCCAAACAAAAACAAATACATATAAATATACATACACAATATATATACACACATTGTATATATTGTAAAATGAAATCAAAGAATCATTTGGATTGATCAAAATCATGTAATCATCCAATGTAAACATGAAATAAACTTAACATAAAGAATTCAATTTTTTTGGATCAAAGCCTCATATATATCATGGATGGACTAACGCAGTGAAATCCCATATTTTTAAAGTATTTAATATTTTAATAAGAAATATTGGTGGGTTATTATATGATGGCAAGATTTTAAGATGAGAATCTAATTTATTTCTTTATATTTATTTTATCTCTTTTATATCTATCTCATTGTTATTCATCTCTTTTTAAAAATAAATTTACCCCACTTTCCCCCACATTTCACATCCTCTTTAGGTGGAAAAGAAAAAATATATATATAAGAATTGCTTTGGTGCTCCTCGGGATGGGTTCAGTGGATGGGCTTGACACGAAAATACTTCCAACCCGGGACTGGGGTTTGGCTAAGCCCGTGCCACCCCTTTTTTCCGTGTACCAAAAATTAATTTTTTTTTGTTGTTGTTTTTAAAAATGCTTTGGTGAAGAAGGCTTGTACTTTGATTCCTATTTTGCCCTCCAGTTAGGTTAGTTGCACAAATTGAATTACACGCCTGCCACTGGCTCATGCCCCTTACTGCCAACAGACCATATAATTAAAAAAAATAAAAATAAATTAAGAGTTGAAATTTTATAGAATTATTTTCATAAGAAATGTTATATTGTGCACCACTTTAGTGGTGCATATTACATAAAATTTACCACAAAAATAAAAAGTAATGTCGTTACAAAGTTTCGCAATATTAACTACATAATATATAATCTCGTTATAAATTGGTATAACAAAAAATGTCATAATAAAATCAAAAATTTTTGCAATATCAATCACCAAAATTTAAAATATTTTGTTACGTTGATTTATTGCAAAATTACACATTTTGTGATTGCTATTATAAATTTTTGTGGTGAATTACACATTTATTTGGTCGTAAAATTACACCACAACAATTCTCCATTTTCTTTAAAAGTAATTTTAGAATGATTATTATATTCTTAACTTTTGACACCTTGACCTTTTGTAAAATTAAATATTAGTTGAGGACAAAGAAACTGCTGATATCATTAAACCTTTAGAGGATCTGTTCTATCTCTTTCCACGAGCTTTGGTTGGTGTTATCTACTTTTGTTCTTTTTGCAATCGCAGTTGGTTTCTTTGGCTGGTGTTAGTGGATTTGTTAAGGTTGATATAGAGTATCTTCCATAGGCTCTGTTCTGTAAGGTTTTTTGTGTTTTGGGGAACCAGTGGGGTCTTCCTTTGTCTGTTGTGGTTTGAGTTAAGGATCAGTGTCAGTTTCTTTTGTAGGGAAGGGGGTTCGTGTTTGCCTCAAGAGGTAAGTCAGCTTTTGGATCTTTCTGAAGTACAGTCTTCTTTTCTGGGTAGTATGTCGGGCTATATAAGGGAAGGACTTGGACGGATGGTAGTGATATGGATCAGGGAAGCGAATATTCGGAGGAACGTCGAGGTCTACCCCATCCACGTTTTTTAAATCGCTTGCAGTATACACAACAGCGCAGGGGAGTTCGCTTGACGATGTTGGCGCCATTGTGGAGTATGGGTAACCATATATGTTCCAAAAGGTGTTTGGTGGGGGGTTATCTGTTGGATTGTCAGTTTGTGACTTATCTGATGCAACACTTTATTGATGAGCATTGGAGAGCTTTGAGTGGGGTTGAAGTGGCTGGGCATCATGGAAACTTTTATATTTTCCGGTTTGCGAGTGAAGCTGACATGCATAGGGTGGTGGCCCAAGGACCATATGCGGTGGCTGGTGCTTTGCTCATTATTGAATACGGGCGACCAAATTTGGTGCTTGAGCATCTGAAAATTTTGCAGTATGCAGTTTAGGTTCGTTTGCATGGTCTGCCACTGGAGTGTCTTTTGGTGGAAGCTAGTTTTCAATTGGGGAGTGCTATTGGGGGTGGTGCTACGTGTTGATTATGATGAGTTTTCCCCTATTAATCTTTGTTTTCTTGAACTT